GAAGAAAATCATTCTGATTTAAATGCGATTTGGCGAAGAACCGATCCCCAGAGTTTGAAGATTTGCAAAGTTTAACAACAGGTTTTTCAAACTTTAACACAAGAAAGTTTAGAGTTCTATTCAGTTGTCTGATTGGTATGCAAGACATATAGAGTTCGATTTCACCAACACATTTGTGTGGTATAAAACATCATTTAAAACATATAAGTTATTCATTTATATCTACATTTATAGTGAAAATAGTGATCTAGAGAACGAGATACGTTATAAAAGGTTGCCCTGAACCATTATTAGTTGCAAGTGATATGTACCAGTTGTAGGAGTGCATACACTACTTGACATGTGAGTCCAGGTAAACGCACTAATACAGGAAAAAAGTAGTAATGAGAAAGCAAATATTTTTAAATTCTAAAACTATTTTGAAGTATTCTTTTATATATTACATAAATAACACTTCTTTATCAAAGTCATAATAAATGTATTCAAAATATTAGTACATTGCAATTTTGAAATCAATAAATAATTAGTTAATTTGCCTATCTGATGGTAGAATAAAAACATTAACTTAGGTTGGTTAAATATTCCGGGTAAATATATTAAATAATATAAATTCTTGAATGAACTATGTATTGAAGCTACTTCGAAAAAATATTCTTTAAATGTAAAAAATCATGTATGTTTTCACCGTCTGTTTTTATACATTAGGATGATAAAAACCATCAAAATCCCTTTTACTCCCAACTAATTTATATTTATTGTATTACTCGAGTAGGTTAAAACAATCAGCGCTTTTACCGGTAAACCAAACTCAAACACAGAGTCCTATATTATTGACGAGAACTGTTAATTACTACTCATTGTTGATGACGTCATGATGCAGTTTCAACATGAGTGTTTGCCTACCTTTGCAGTATCGGAGTTTACACTAACTGATCTAATTTAGAACTTAATTAATTAAGAAAAGCATAAAATACAATCTTTTAGCTAAACATTTGCCCAGTCATTAAAATATTTCATAAAACTTATTTTGGACACGTTATTTTTCTTGATTTTTAAATATTTTATCTTGAAAATATTTATATTTACGGTATAAAACCGTAGGCACGATTAATATTGTCCTATTGCTTTTTCAGAATAAATGGCTAATAAAAATTGTGCGATTCCATAACTAGGAAATGTTTGAAACTTTTTAATTCTGCAAAGTTTCACCCAACCTTTTGTAAAAAAAAGTAAAATAACCCTACAAACACCTATTATCTATTTATAAAGGTGTATTTTCTAATATGGATTATGAGTATAACCGTATCTTACAAATAATACATCGTCAACAATATTACTAAATTTATTTAAAATCAGATACCTAACAAACCAAGCATATTTAATAACGGACATCAAATCACAGGCATAACAAGTGCCTTAAGGGGAATTTAAAAATATTATCATCATATATATTAAAACGTGACTTTCACTATTCTGAATCAACCACTAGACGGATTTTCATAGTGTTTGTGTTGAAAGAAAGATAATTTTGAGAACTAGGGAATGTTGAAGCCCTAATTTTAGTTTAGGGTCAGTTTTTTTTATTAAGTTTTAATTATCTGATTCAGGCAGAAATTACTAGGCCTGGATGGCATCTAACTACACACCGACACAAAATCACACTAACCTATACACTTCCGTACACCAGCATCAACAATAACCAGGATTTCAAATAGGCTTTGTTGGAAAACAATCACAACACTATGAAACACATTAAAAAACACACATCAAACCCACTATGTCGAGGACACAACACAATTAAATATTTAGTAAAAAAAACTAGTTTTGACACATTATCATTATTATTATTATTTGTATTTTCTCTGCTTTGTGATAATGCATACATGTAGGGCGTTTCACAGTGAGGAGAGTTTATGTTCAAACGACTTCTCATGTTTTCATTTATTTCTCAATCCGCTCAGCTCGGCACTGCCTTTTTCAGTGCAAAAAAACTGTTCAAACATGGTCTACGAACCATGAAAAACTAAGAGGAACAAATATATAAGCAATCCAAATAGTACTCTATAGATTATAAAGTTATTATTTATGTCATTACATTTAGATTTTTTATTGTGCTGCCTATTATTTTGTTTCAAATTAAGGTGCCTCCCACAAACCACCGTAGAAATATTATATTTAGGAATCTTTGTTCTAGAAAAAAATGTAAACTTTTGTTTGCTAGCTTTATGCATCAATTGGACCTCGCCGAGAAGTGTTTTGAAGTTGGTGAGGCCAAGCTGTTGTAATTTCTATAATTAATAAATATATTTAAATTTGATTTTTTTTTGTCTAGAAGCCGACGGTAGCATTCTAAACTAACTTTTGCTATAGTATCATTTTCTTGTATTATCATCATCATCATGTGTATGTTATACCGTAACAGCTGTAAGCTTTGAGCGTTTCTGACACAAATTGAGCATTTGGATAAAAATAAAATGACATACGTAGGGTTTACTTATTTGTACTATGTGTAATACTATAGTAGTTTATGCATTAATTTATGCGGTAATACTGTATTACAGATTATTTTAATATACATCGTTAAATACAACATGTTCTAAATTATTTTTAAACCAGTCTTTAAAATCATTAGGCTATATGTTTCATACAATTTGACCAACTTGCAAGTTGGTCTTTTTCAACCTGCAGTTTTCAACCCATACAATGTAATAGTATATTACGTTACTAGTCCTGAAAATAAGTGTTTACCGGACGAGTGTGGTCGTTCCCGTGCGAGACGAAGTCGAGTACGGGATTACCATACGAGTCCGGTACACACATTTTGGACGAGTTACGTACGATAGTTTACGCCATACTACTCAATCCGTACAAATCCTTATATATTTCCACCAACTAAAGGACTAAAAATCACTAGTCATAACCTCCAAGAGAGGTTATGATTTTGTTTATAACCACTCATTGCCACGCAAATACAAGTATAATCAGCTGATTGGTGTCCGGTAAAACTCATTGCAGCACAGTAGTACGCAATGAAACCCCATTTGAATAAGCTGGCGGCAAACAGCTGTTTTCTGGACTAAATCCTTGCGTGGAAAGTTCGTCAAAATAGTGTAGTGTGGCGTAAAGTAATAACCATAATATGTCACTATTATATAACGCTTTAATAATTATTAACGTGAATGTATCTTAACTAGCCTGTATTATACGCAAGCATTGTAGATTGTTTGTATCGTATGTAAATTACACATTAATACGGTGAATAAATATAACTTAAGAGTTAAACGTAAACTAAAGTTACGCCAATTACCTCTGAGCGGGTACCGTGGCCATGGCTAGTCGGCACGGGTGTTTATTGTTGTATAAATAACATGTAAACATGATTTGGCTCTACACAATACTCGTGTGGGTTGCATTGTATACACTATTCTCGGCCAGATATCGATCTGAGGATCTTAATTAAAATGTTACCATTACTGTTCTAATAACCATAACCCACATACACACATGCATAAGCCATAACAATCTATCATTCTGATACTTTATTGCGGGAATTTCCATACCTTAATTGAATGCAATGGAAATAGAGTTCTGCTATTGCTTGATCTCAGTGTGATAGTAATCGTGTATCATCTTATAGCCTAATTAATATCACAATTAAGTTCAATTGGGATATCTTTATTCTACTCCTTTTTACTTTTAAAGTAATCAATATACAACCTTTTTACAAATTTACAACATAACCTGAACTGTTTGGTCTTAGATGGAGGTTTTCAGTTTACAACTCAAAACAATGAAAAACTTTTGCATTATTATTTTGATAATTATTTAACCAATTAAATATTTTCATAAGATATTGGTGTATTTTTGTTTTATATTTTAATGTATTTACATTTCCCCAACAAATCGATGTTAGAAATGGTCGGCATTATTGGAGTCGGTTGTACGCAGATGAATATTTTAAAACCACAACCGTGCCGCTTTTTCTAGATAATCTTATTAAATACAGTGGAAATCAGACGTAGTTTACTTCAATAGCAAGTATATTTTTTTGAAAAAAAGCTACCCATCTTTGTCATGTCTGGCTTGTTCTTATGTTAATGGTTTGGTTCACAGATTTCGTCACCAATAATACAAGCAAGTTTGCTACTAATAACATTTTAAAAACACTAACCATGAAATCACCAGTTATATTAACATAATTCAACATAACCAGCCTAAAAGATTAAGTTCAGCCGTCGAACCGGATGCACGGTTAATCACAACCCAACCCTCTGAATTGATTTTATACAAACACATTCATTTTAATTTAGTTTATAAAATTAATAATTTAACGCAAATTTTTTATTGGCGGTTAGACAAACTAAATCAAGCAATTAGTGATTCTTACATTTTATTTCTTTATGCTAACTTTGAACTTATTAACGAAATATCTGTTTAACTACCATATTTAATAGTTAGTAGTTGAAAATACTAAGAGGTAGTTTAAGTTATAAGCATGATAGAAAACATCTCATCATAAAACCATATATTTCGTAGCAGCTGCAATAAAAACATTTTACGTTTAACTTTAAACTGCCAGTATAAGCATATAAACTGATTATAATAAATAGTGTTTCAAAAATTGCCTTATCGAGTAGATTTTCCTGGAAATATAAAAACACTGGCAGCCGTAACTTAGGCAAAGTTTGCAAAAAAATAGCTAAGAATCAAGTGATAAGAGTACTTTCTTATCATTATAATAACCGGTTCCATTTAATGTTATTTTTGCTAGTTACTCCTTTCAGTAGAAAAGTTTTTTGTTGTTCATATTTTGGTTCCTATTTAAGTACCCGTAGTTCTAAAATCTAATTTTTATCTAAAGAACTGTTTTAGATATTTATTATTAAACTTTTCATCTTTGTATACCATACTTAAACATTTTACTTATTATTCTAGGACTCCAATGAGTTTCTCATCCTCAAATTATAAACCGTTAACAGATCACAAAAGGCTGGAGTTACCTGAGAGTTGAAGCAAGACGTGGAGAAGTACAGGCAAGATGGCTGCTCCTGAAGTCATTGTGGTTTCTTGCTCCTTCCGGATCCGGGACAAAACCTTGCTTATTGTTCACTTTGCTCCGCAAACTTTAAACTAACAGAAAACAAAGCCAGTCTTAATTCTGGTCCGTCCCACTTTGATTCAATGATTCGAAACAAAACTTTCTTACGCTCGAAATACACTTAGGCTTTATATGATACAGAAAACTTTTCAAGGAGCTACACCAATGTGATTGACTAAAGATGAATAAAAACAGTTTTTAATTATCGTTAAAACTATTTACTATTGTTGCAGTGTGCTTAAATGTGTTGTCCACAAAGTGCTGCAGTGTGCTGTTTAGCTTGGTGACGATTTGAGTGGTTAAAAAATAATAAATAATAAAATAATATTTTAATTGTAATTGAATTATTCATATTGTGCCCACTTTGTTTTGCATAGCGTCATCGGTTTTTAATAAATGTATTAAACAAATGAGTACGTGAGACTAATTTTACAGTCAATTTTATTTTGGAAAAAGTTTCCAGAGTGTCCGTAAACGTTATTATTCGAAAAATGAATTGAGGTCCTGTTTTGTCGAAATCTTGTTTAAATGTGTAGGGCTGTACAAACTTCACTGAATTTAAAAACCAGCAATATCGAGCTACAAAAACGGGGGGTGATGAATTTTACCATTTTGCTTTACATAATTGCTATTTTATTTATTTTGTGTTTAAAATATGAAAAATGTCCGATCTTTATTACAGCAACCACGTAGAGCTTAAAAACCCAATATTTGTTTTTAATAAAGCCATTGTTCTTACGGAGAAAATTCTATGCTTATTTTTTCTCAAGAAAAATACAAAAAAACCTTCTGTGGTTTACATGTTTATTTGACTATTTTGAAGAAAAATTGAAAAAATTCTTTTTTTATGATAAACTATTAAAGTTTTATTTAAAAAAATCGCCGTTTTTGTCCCTAATGTATAAAATATAGATATTGCTATTATAAATCTAATGTGTAAACATTGGGGATAAATTTGACATTCATAAGCACTTATAATGTTTTTCCAAAATCCATTAGGTGAATGAATCTAAATTTGCTAAGTAAAGAAGCTTTCCAATTATATATTTAAGTTCTACTTTAATAAAAGTACTTGTAAAAACAAATTTAAAACCTTATACAAATAATTAAATATAAGTATTGAAAATCCAGTGCAGTTTAAAAAGAAAACCCGTTCTTTTAAAGAGAAATGTATGCAACAGTAATATATATTTCATGAAAGAGTGTACCAACATATAATGGCTTTTGGTGAATCACTATATATTCCTAAAACGCAGTTAAAAATCATAAATATACATTTAAGTATACTTAATACATCACATAAATATAAATTATATGAATACAAATGTTCAGGAGTGAGTTAAATTTTATATACAAATTTATATTTTATAATTTAACTTAATTTTAAATTTGTACGAAATAGGCGAAATTCTGCTTCCTGTTTGGCACCTGATAAAATGACAACATTGATCCATACAAGTTTTAATGCAAAAATGACTAAAGTGATTATTTATTTTATCTTAAACAATTCTTAAGGCTACCAACCTATGATTGAAAAGGGAAAAAACATTTGAATACAAATTAAAACCAACTTTCAATTTTGTTTGCCATTCCTTAGGAATTTAAAGCTTTATAATGTCAATATTTTTATCTACATAATAAACAGTTTTTTTAATGCAAGGTCAATATCTCTCTAAAAACTAATAAAAGGAACTGTATATGTTTTATTTATTTTCTATTTATTTATTGTTTACATTTAATCAATGGCCTTTAACTTATATGACATTCTTAGAATTATTGAAATATAAAATGCAAATTTTTCAAAATAATACAAAACCGTTTAATAATTGACATTTGTTAATTAGTAATGATAAATTACATTTTCAACTAATAATAATTCAAAATAACTTTTTATATTATGACGTATGTTGCAGTCTAGCTGAGTAAGATATAATCTATCTGCCATTTTATATTTCGTGATTGATTAGACATTTTAATATACTAGTTGGCCAGATTTGAAACAGTTAACTTTTCGAATGCAAATATTAATTAGGCTTGTCGTTAAGTTGATATCTTTAGTTTAAGAATGAATTATGAAAGATTAGTTTTTATTTTTAGAGCTAAAGTTTAGATTTTTGTATTCTTGATAATTTAATGTCACAAATATCATATTACAAATTGTTAGAATATCCTTTATGGACTAATATTCCATTGTGAGTTTTAGTAAAAAGCCCCAAAAATAAAACAAAATGACAAACTCTAATTTTCACCACATTGACCTTCTGTTATAACATTTCATCATAGTTCGGACAATAAGTTAATAAACTCTACATTAAGCGTATAACTGATATATTGACTTTTTGTTGAAATATAATATATTTATAGGTAAATAAAGCCCATTCCGATCTCCGAGTAGTAAAATATAAAAATTATTTGTCTAGCACTGCAGTTAGCTTAGTATGATTTTATCAATTTATCGTTCAAAATATATATTTATCATCAGGAAGGATAACATATGATATTTTATCATGTTTTTGAAACTTATCTTAGATTATAGATTTGAATATTAGATTTAAATATTTGTATTTAAATACGTTAATGTTGATTCCTTTTATAACAAAAACGTTGTATAACTAACCCTTTAATTTACTATTTAATTTAAAACGTTCCAGAATTAAATCTGCTAAGCTTAGAGTGCAATTTATTTTGTTTTAACAATCCATACGCTGGTTAGACTATTCTTAAATATTATAAGTTCTCATTAAACTCTGATTAATAAAGAACTACCATAAAACTGACTCCTAAAACAATCGTTAGCCTACATTTATTCGTAAACTACATACTTTGTGCCATAACTTTTTTTTTAATTTATAAAATATAACATATAAAAAAAACAGAAAAAAAACTTAAAGTTTTTCAAGTTATTCAGGAAACTGTCAAAAATCTACCCAAATTCCTAGCAATTGATCAGAGAGTTTAATTCACGGCCTAACAAAAGAACATCTAAAATCATAAAAACGCCTTTTGTAAATTGCAAACCACCTTAGAAAACTAAATAAATATATACACAAATAAGGTAAACCAAAACTTACAAGTCAAGACAAACAATTTCCCCAGACCCAACACTCACACTCACTCGCGATGTTCAAGGCGCCCCGCGACGAGAGTTCCGTGTAGCCCGGGTGGCGCGTGGACGCCGTGTGAGGGCACCAGCCAGAGGCGGCTCTAGGGGAGGAGCGTGTGGGGCGCCGGCGCCCTCAGATCAAGCCCCCCCCCCGGCCCACCGCCGAGTAGCGTAATTATCCGTTGATTAAGCAGTAAATTAACTGAGCTCGGTTTCCTAACAATCGTCTTCCCCTTGAACTTATCTCTGACGCTTTCCGGGTATTAAATCAACTTCGTCTCGTTTAAATATTTAGGGATTAGGGGCTAGGTTTGGTAGTTCACTTTAGGGTATTATATGTAGCTGACTTTATAACTTTTATTTGTAGATAACTCGAATTTGTTTAGGATTCATGTAAAATTGTGGAGACAAGTTCTACATTTTGAAGTCAGCTAGTCAGCGGAGCAATGATGTATTGTAACCAATGAATCGTCCGATGAGCAATGAACCAAGAACGCTTTGGAACCTTATGTTAAATAGTATGTCTGTCCATCAAGGAAACAAAAAATGGAACAAAAGAACCTTAGATTTAGAGGTGGGTTTCCATAAGTTTATTAGTTTTGACTCTAATGACTGCTAACTTTAATACAAATTAAAAAAAAAAAATATTGACATCTTAACATTGAAGTAAAATGAAGAATTGTTCATCTCGATGTGTTTAAAAACCCTTTAGAAATTCATGAAAATTAAAAAAGGAGTATTAGGTTTTAATTTATAACAATTTACTGAATTCCATACAACTAAATTAACTCAAAGTCTAAAACAGATAGAGGATAACCAGGTTAAACATCTTAAAGTAAGAAATAATTTAATTTAATCATTATGACAGTTGTGCTTTTAGTTCTGGTAACGCCAAAGTATGTTGGTGTCAACTGTCTGTATACTACTTTTCACAACTGCGAGCTATGTGGACATAAAAATATATTGTCTACTATCAACTATCGCACTTACATCCTAGTTAGCAAAATCATCTCAAAATGAAACCTTTATTTACTTTAAAAGAAACAAGTAACATTTCTGGGTTAGTACAGGTAAAATTATACTAAAACACATGTTGAAAACATAAACTAATGATCAATTATTTGGTAATAATTTATATTAACTGGATTATTTTACCTCAATTAATTTGTCATATTTAGTTTTTCGTTAATAAATTAGTCTTTTTCTCATAAACAGCCAGTTGTATTGATTTTATTATGCTTTTTTTATTCTGCATCCTAATAAACATAGAAAACGACCCCCCACTTTCTTGGATCCCAAAAATAAAAATGTTCTCAAAATCACTACCCCCATAAACTTTAACCCCCATAAAATGGTACTTCCACCCCCACAATCACTAGGGACTCTACAGATTCCAAAACCTAATGGTAATTACTACGTTTCCTGCAAGTTTCATGAACGGACCATTTTTTTGTAAGTTTTACCTGTACTAGCTTTAAACCAGCTTAATTCAAAACCGGCTTCAAACGTTTTATCAGCTAATTATTTTTTTTGCCTCCTTTTACTGTTCATATTTGGCAAATTTAAGACCAACCTATCAGAACAAACTATTTCATGGATATTTTATTTTATAGATTTTATTTTGAGAGGTTTCCAAGATATAATTTGTTACAGGTATAGTAAAATGCCTTTTAATATGTTCTTAAGGTTCTTAATGGATTTATGTTCTTAATGGATTTGGCATATAATCTAGTAAGCCAGTAACTTATTTTGACACTTATTTTAAGCTACTCACACATACCACACATGATGTCCATGAGCTATAAACATGAAGAATCGCACATTAAAGTAGATTTATATGGGTGTGTCTGACCTTTTCCATCGAAACATCAACTGTCTTAAGAGATATGGCTCGTCTACACGCCATTGCTTCATTTCCCCAGCGTTCGCTTTATTTAGGAATTCGTACTACTTGTGACCATGAGCTACACAGATACCAATAAACACATTCAATTTATTTCCAAGATGTACTTATATTATATAGGTTAAAACGTGGAATAATGGAAGCCTGGAACTGAAAGAAGAAGGTCCATATTCGCTATAATCACAGACCTAGCTGATTCAAGGGCATATCTCATTTTCACTAAAAAACTTTTATGTGAAATTATATAACTTACAAATTAGTAAAGCATTTGATTAAAATCAATTTTGACTTATCAAAAGACGATGGTCGTTTTTTATTGCTTACTAGCTGGCCCGACAGACTTCGTCCTGTCCTAATGTGGTTTGATGTCAAATTCTCGTTCGTTTTCAAGATGAGCTCGTTCGCATGGCTCAATCACGTCCTGGTTGAAGTTCGTTCGCTACGCTCACTCACCTTTAGGTTTTAGCTCATTCGCTGCGCTCACTTGTCTTCAGGTTAGCTCGTTCGCTACGCTAACTCGCCTCCAGGTTGAAGTTCGTTCGCTACGCTCACTCACCTTTTGGTTGCAAATTAGCTGTTGTCATAAATTTAAAGAAATAATAGTGCTTCACCCTGTTGGTAAACCTATTAACTTTTTAATGCTATTAAACATCACAGAATCAAATTGTTTAGTTGCACCAGCTGTTAAGATTCTTTAATCCCATTTAAATATGAGTACTCATAAGGTTAACATGGGAAACTCCAGAACCACTGGGGTGGAGCCCTTTTGACGGATCTGCACCAAAATTCACACAAACCATCCTTGAATAATGCCTGAAAATTTCATTACAATCTGTCTGGCGGTTTCGGAGTCCATAAAGGACAAACAAACAAACGTACATACATTGGATTTTATATATATAGATAGATACATAACATTTTTACTACGCTAAATATGTTATTTTCCATAATTAATTATTCTTTAACCCCCGTTTAAGTTTATTCAAATTATATTTAAAGACCTAACATGAACTATATGGATGTCACTGGTGAAATATTTTAATATGGTATGATTCAACAGAACTCGTATAATGACAAGCATTGAAAAAGTGGTATGTAACTCGATAAATGTATGGAATCCACACATACAGGGTTATTACAAATGATGTTCATGATTTCATACATACATAAAATATAGTTTTATTTGTTATACAAAGAAATAAAATGGTTACAACTTTTGAAAAACTCAAAAAGTTTCGACACAGATACACAGAACTGTAAATGCTCGATACGAGAACCCCTTGTGGTACGACAGATGTCAATAATGTAGTCAAGCTCTTGCTAGACTTTGAAAAGTGTGTCTAGGTCTATTGTTTCGATAGCATTGGTAATCCGTTGCTGGATCTCAAGTATGCTATCTGATAATGGTGGTGTGTACGCCTTATTTTTTATGTATCCCCACAAGAAAAAAATCAGGGGGTGATGTCCGGAGATCTTGTAGGCCAGTTCAGGGGTGTGTCATTATTCGGACCACCGAGCTCGTTCCATATCTCAGGCAGCACATTGTTAAGTTCAGCCCTACTACAAGTAACATTCAAATGCAGCCATTTCTCTTAAATTTCAAGTGTCACTTGCCAATATAGTGGTTACTAGGAGGATAATCGTTAAACCTGGTTCTAAAGTGTCGTTGCACACTAATAACAGATTGGTTAATGGTTAATGTAATATTCCAACTGGCAAAAAGATTCCCTGCCTTCAAATTCAGCCATTACACAACACTTACAACAATTGACTTGACAAACAGCTGATATGCACCCAAACCAATGTAAATGAAACTTTATGAGTTTTTCTTTCCAATGGTACCAACTAAAATAGTCTTGAAACAAATTAACCCAGTAATATTTATAATCAAAATAAGGAACATCATTTGTAATAACCCTGTATTATATGCACAATTTACATTATTATTTAGTAATTTACTTTAGTGATTTGGTATTTTCATCCTATTATCACTTGATTGTAAATAACACGTAAATATTTGACGTTATTCAAAGAGCTTAAAGGCAAAAAAAAATACGTAGTTTTTTTTCAATTGATAGTTCTTAATCCAAAATATTACATGTCAATATTCTGAAATACCATGGAGATTAACAGAATTGTTACATAAATGTTAGCAAGTTGTTTATTTTGAATTTCAACTTTTGGACTGTCTCTACAGCTTAATACAAGTTATTTTCTTTGACTTTTAAACTCACCTTAAAACTTTTAAACAATTAAGCCGTTGAAAAACCTTCGATATGAGATCATTTACATACAGGGTGAATAAAAAGTCAAGACCCCCACCCCCTCTAATATTTTTCCAAGTAAATATACAGAGATATTCTTTTGGTGGTCGTGCAATCTTAGCAGGAAGTTTCATTTTATGATTTTGAAATTTTTGAGTGTCCCCCCAAAAGGGGGGATTTGGGGACAACTAAAAATTTTACAATGTAAATCCCCATCAAGTGACACCTCATTTTGAAGTGTTTACAAAAACTTAAAGAATGGTGAAAACCAGAGTTCGCTATCTCTTCTCTATCCAAAATGGTAGCCAATATTACCATCACGAACCAATTTTACCATTGATTTTCCACAACATTTGACGGGCTACCATTTCGGATAGAGAAGAGATAGCAACCTCTAGTTTTCACCATTCTTTAATTTCAATACTCAAAAATTTCAAAATCATCAAATGAAACTTCGTGCTAAGATTGTACGACCACCAAAAGGATATCTCTGTATATTTACTTGGAAAAATATTAGAGGGGGGGTCTTGACTTTTTATTCACCCTGTATAGGCCTACTAATTTTAGACACTGAATAAACTTGTATTACTCAACACAGGTACAATTGATTCAAGCAAAGAATGGAAATTCTATCACTTAACCTCGAATAATAAAAATAATTTATGTAACAGTATATTATACTTAAAATGCAGTTACACGATGTATCAAAAACCCTTATGTCTATAAATACGGAATTTACGAATGTTTACCAAAAATACGAAAATACAACATCACTCGACAGTCGACAATCTGACGGATCGTTCATCACATATCAATGAGGCGGAAGTTTTCAATCATTCATTCAACCGCCGTCGATACGTTTATCCAACATGTTGGCTCCTGTCAAGCAATTGATTCCAAAT